GCAGCACGACTGTTTTCAACATTGATAATAATCAGAAATGTTTCTTGAGCAGCAAATCAGCATATTAGAATGATTTCTGAAGATCATGTGACACTGAAGACTAGAGTGATGGGGTAATTGATCACAGAAATAAATTACAGTTTAACAGATATTCGCATAGAAACCAGCTATTTTAAATTCTAATAATATTTCCCATTTTTACTGTATTTTTGAGCAAATAAATGCAGCCTTGCTGAGCAGAAGAGACTTTTTTCAAAAATACATTAATATTCCAAACTTCAGCCCGGTAGTGTATAAAGTGAAAGCATAATCTGACATCTTTCCAAACCTTGTTCTTCAGCGTGTAAAGGGCTTTATCTCTGGCTCCGTATTTAAGACAATGTCGGATCCAGCTGTGGATGGTCCAGTCCCGAAGATACCAACAGTTTGGACTGTGACGAAACCTGAGGAGATCAACACTTCAACTTCACAATTGAACAAATGCAACTAACTGAATCAGTATTGCGCAAACGGTAACCTTTTTAAAGAGTTATGTAGTGATACTTACTTATATAGGTAATATTGTGCTTGATCGACTTCCTCTTTTGATGATAAATTATCTACGAACTAAACAAAATGCACACGTTAAAACATTGACTTTATTTACAGTGTCACACAACTTAATACCCATTTTACATGAACAAGTCATGAATTCACAAAATAAAAATGTTTGAGTCGTCTTCTTATTATTCTAATATTATGCAGTAGTCAATAATGTCATCCTAGGACAAGAATGCATTTTGGTTTTAGGTTTTAGGACAACTTTGATTAAAGGTTTTGATGCACTTCAAATATTGACTAGTGGATATTAAACTCATATGCACATGCATACATAAGCAACAGAGTACTTTGTGTGGATGTATTGTACTATATGTGACCCTGGAGCACAAAACCAGTCATAAGGGTCAGTTTTTTTTATGCTTTGCATTGATGTATGGTTTGTTAGGATAGGAGAACAATATTTGGCTGAAAAACTATTTGAAAATCTGGAATCTGAGGGTGCAAAACAATAAGAATATTGAGAAAATCGCCTTTAAAGTTGTCCAAATTAAGTTCTTAGCAATGCATATTACTAATCAAAAATGAAGTTTTGATATGTTTACGGTAGGAAATTTACTAAATATCTTCATGGAACATGATCTTTACTTAATATCCTAATGATTTTTGACATAAAAGAAAAATGTATAATTTTGACCCATACAATGTATTGTTGGCTATTGCTACAAATATTGCTATTGCTACAAATAACACTGCTTTTGTGCTGCAGGCTCACATATGTTTAAAATGCATAAATCATCTCTCACCCTGGCGATGACCAAAGAGCTGACGGGAAACTTCCTCGCATACGTTCTGTCCATCAGAGAGGCCAGCTGACCTGCAGAAGAAAATCCAGGCACATTTAAAACAGACAGAATGTTAAATAAGGACAGACGGATGTGGTTTCAGAGCAGCGCTGTCTCACCCAGGTCCTGTGCATCTCTCGGTCTCTGCTCCCAAACAGCAGGGTCTGTGTACGCCGACGACAGCAGACATCTCCTGGCTGACAGAAAATAAAGTAAGGGATGGACTGATGATATTGATTAATCAATTGCCAATAGATCTTAATTTTACATTTAGTACATGCTTTTATCCAAAGTGACTTACAAATGAGGACAATAGAAGCAATCAAAACCAACAAAAGAGCAATGATATGCAAGTGCTGTGACAAGTCTCAGTTAGCTTAACACAGTACACATAGCAAGTTTTTTTTTTGTTAATTATATAATGGATAAAAAGAAAACAGAGAGATAGAATAGAAAAGGAATAGAGAAAGCTAGTGTTATGGTGAGTTCACACCAGACGCGAAGCGAATATGCGCATCGCGTCGCTCGCTCTAGATTACTCGCGGGATGTTTTTCGTGTCACTCGCGCGAATAAAAACAGCACGATCAACCATGGTGGAGATACCTACAACCGCTGTTTTGTACCTGTTGTCAAAAAGTCCCAAATACAATGGAAAGCCAAACGCCGACGTGTCTGGGTTCACAACACCATCCAGAGGAGGATGAATAACGTTAGGATCCTGCATTAATGTGTGTGTTACATTTTACTACTGTATATATACACTGATATTACTATTATTTTTATTATTGATAGCAGCATCTCTGTAGCCATGCTAATAAAATACAACTACTACAACTGATTTTAATTGTTTTCTATGCTCCAGACCTATATAATAACAGACGGCTGCAATAATGCTCTCTTCTATTGTCTGATTCAACTGGACGTGTCAAGAAACTCTTCGATGATTGGCTTGCGCGAGAACACGTCATTCGAATTTTCCGCTCGAGTTGAAATTTTTGAACTTGCTCGTCATTGCGTTGACTTTGTATGTAATCTACTCGCGCGAATAATTACATTCGCGTCTGGTGTGAACACACTGTTAGAGTTAACAAGAAAGCAAAGCAGTTAGAAAACAAATAGAGTGCAAGTCTTAAAAGGTCATGTTTTTTTTTATAGATCAAATAGATAACAGAATTAGAATAGAGAGTGCTAGAGTTAGAGGGTCAAATACATTTTTTAATGAACTGATATCGATCCTTAAAATTCCAAGATCGATGCTGTTTTCTGTTTATGCATTAATAAAACTTCACCAAATATGTGTCCCTGCAGCACAAAAGCAGTGTTAAGTCACTGGGGTATATTTGTAGCAATAGCCAACAATACATTGTATGGGTCAAAATTATACATTTTTCTTTTATGCCAAAAA